CGCGATCTTCCGCTTCGTGACTGAGGTCCTTCTGCGACCATGGAACATCTAACAGGGATGGTAGGGTGGTCTCATGAAGAACTCAAACGTGGTACTATGATAGAACAACGCATTTTTTCACAAATGTTTGTAAATGCAGACTGCATGGCTAGGTGCTTGACCTTATACACCTGTGGCAATGGGTCTGATTGAAATATCTGAATTCAATAATTAAAGCAGCACTGTCACCTTCTAGGGACTTTGAAAAGTTCACAAAGATCCGCGACGATGACACAGCCACTGGAGGTCTGGTGGCAGAGGGGCAGGTGAAGGTGATATTTACTTATCTGAACTTGTCCATTGTGGGTGCGGCCATCTTGATCCAGAGGGTACTCTTCAGAGCCGATGTCACTGCTGTACTCTCGTGGATGTGCAAGAGTACAGCATTGAGATCTATGGAGGATCTCTGCAGCAGTTACTGGTGACAACTGCTGGGAATGACACCTAGACCCTAAAAATCAGGCGGTTGAAATATATAGAGGCAAAGCAGTCCCTATTCTGTCTCTGTATAGCTCTTGACATGGTTTGAATTTCAGTGAAATTCCAATAGTCAAAAATAGTATTTCATAAAGATTCCATCTTTATAAAATACTCATTTTTCAGGGGGTATGTGCTGTTGTAATACATTTTTACTGTTTTGAAACTATAATATTTGTGTTCAGTGAAGTCTCCCAAGTAAAACAGTACCCCCATGTACAGGTTTTATGGTGTCTTGGAAAGTTATAGGGTTAAGTATAGTGCTAGCAAATTAAATTCCCTATACTTTCGGCATGGGTTGTCAGGCAGGTCCTGCTAATTGTAATTAATTAAGATATATGTATAATTAATATATGGATATATATATATATACGTATGTGTGTATGTGTATGTGTATGTGTATGTGTATGTATATATATATATATATATATATATATATAATTTTTAAAAAATATTTTTATTTATATATAGGTATATATATAGTGATATATACGTATATATTTATGTATATAGATATATATATATATATTATTTCGTTCTACATGTATTTTGATATATCACAATACAGTTAGAACGAAATAACACACATCTATATATTTTTTAATTATTTATTTTTAATAATTTTTTTAATTTTTTTTTAACGTATTTACATATTTATTTTTTAAATTATTTATAAATATATATATATATATATATAACAATAATTATATATATATATATTTAATCAGTATCAGTCTACGTGTAATTTGATATTAATATATATATATATATATATATATATATATAATAATACACCTAGACAGTGTATGTATATGTGTGTGTGTGTATATATATATATATATATATATTTGTGTTAGGTGCTTAAGATAGTACAGTGTGAAATACCATGAATAAATGTAGGATAATAAAAGGAGCAAGTCGGTTGTGGTGTGCCGAAACCGACGATGAGGTAGGCCTGAGAAAGAAGAGGGCCTACCCAGGAAAAGAAATAGAAAGGAAATAAATGTTAAAAGTGGTGTGGTGGGAGGGTCATTCAACGCTGACCTCGAACAGTAAGGAGCAAGGTAACATTCTCCTTCTTTCACTGGGTAAGTATATTAGTACTTAGGCAATACTGTGCTTCGGCACTTCGGAAATTCGGTAATTCCGGAACTTCAGGACCTCGGCAATTCAGACATTCGGAAGTACCCGAATGTCCGAATTCATATTCTGACCGAAAAGAATTGCATGTCTGTCTACAACCCTTACATACACTCCTAAAGGCACAAACCCTTAAAAATGTAACACCTGAGTGGGTCTGTGCTTATTTGCAAACAATAGCAAATACCTAACTAATTATTTCAAATGCCTTACCAATTATCAACAGAAAAGCAAACCTTGTTAAATCTAAAACGCTTTCCTAGATGACTCTTACCTGTAAAAGTAAAAAGAATCAATAAAACTCTCCAGAATATCACCAAATACACTTTGTAGCAGCACTTTTATACAGATATATCTATATCACAGAACCCCATTATCATGAAGGGGTGTATGTGGACTACAACAGTTTCTAAGTAGGTGCTTTCAGAGGTGGACAGGGGTCATCATGGGCACTCTGAGTGGTCTGCGGCTGCATAGCTCCATACACAGAGAACTGCAATGTACTGTGTGTTCTAACCTATTTCTATCATGGCCAACATTAAGGTTTTCAGCAATTTGATGTGTTATATGCTCCTAGCGCTTCCTGAAGGCTCCAAGCACTCCACCAGAGACCATAACCACCACAGGCCCCACGAACCGCCACAGCTTGGTTGGGGTCTCGCCGTTTCCTACCCACCTTGGACCTACAACAAGGCTCCAGGTTCCAGTGGGTGAACCTCTCTTTCCCCAGAGAGTGAAGCAGTAACAAGCTCTTAAAACAGCTTTGTGATTATCCAAGGGAGTATGAAGAGCATAGCAATCCCTTGTAGCTGTTTCTCCCAATAAGAGACAGGACTTTAAATTGAGGGTGAAGTAGAATTGGTTTAAAGAGCACAAAGGCATTTCTTATATACAGTTTTCCCCACAAGGTTACCACCCACGTGGACCTTGTGGAGCACAGGACACAAAGTCACAACAGCCAATCCACACAGTATTGTACAGTTAGACACTCCCAGCTAATATACACAAACCCTCCCCTCGGCCTGTGATGCAAACACAATGGACTAACTCAATTACCACAGGCACATAATATCCAGTTTTACCCAAAGTCCAGAAACACCCCAAAACAACAACATATCCCCACATCCCCATATCCCTGGATAGCTCTGATCTGGGCGAACAACATATCCAAGAATCACCCAGATCAGAGCAGGGGTTCCCGAATTCTATGGAAGTCACATTTGACCGGCCACAAGCATGGCTTTCATGCCCAAAATAGTTCCACAGATTTAGGCTGTGCGGCCGGTCTATCTTCTCCTTCCCATAATGTATAAATTTCACAAACGGACCCGTTCGTGCAGTACTTTATTCAAAGCGTCTCGTTCATCAGTTTGTTCTCCAGAAATAGCGCTCCGTTTGTATGGATATAGCCGAACGCACAGAAGGTGGAAGTCTCAGCGGTGTTCGTGGGAAGTAGTAGCCGATTATAGTTCCAGTCGTTCAACAACAAAACACCGCTGAGCATGTTCGGCTAAGCAAAATGGGCACCGCCACGTGTTCGTTCATACGAACTCCGGCCACCCAGCCGTTTGTCAATTAAGCTGCGGTTAACCACATGCAGTGTGGTCGGCTGTTCGCCAGTTTGTTCGTTAAACTCCATTTACCAAACCACATAGAGAAAAAGGCACGAACAAGCCTTTTTACAGTCTTGTTCCAGAGTTTTAGCCATGGGCCATAGTCACAGGGCAGGAGACTGGCAAGCAGGCCCCTCCAAAAACTCATGGCAAACTACCTAAAAAAAGGGATTTAAACGATTAAGACGAAATCCGTTGAGCAAGAAACCAGTGGCTAAGGACAAGTTCCTTGACCAGTTTATGTTGGACCCTAGTATAGGTTACAAAGCACATTTTGCACAGTTAATTTGCTTTAATTGTGCTATGTCACTTGTGAGTGCTTCTATGTTTGTTTTATTTATTTGATTTTTTGTTTTATTTATTTGATTTCATTAAAGTGTCAACCTATAATATTTTTCTTCTATTTTTCTCATTTCTTTATGTGAGCAATTTTACAGTGGTAACTATTATTTATGTATTTTATCGCTACACAATGTGTGTTGCACCCTGCACAGTATACCAATTAATTAATATAAACATTTTGTTTAATTTAAGGGGAAGTTGGGAGACAGCCTGCACTTTTGATCTCTATTGTGCGTATTTGTTGTGATTTGCCTTAATATTATCTGACATGAAGTTAGTGGTGATGGATGAATGAATGCATGTAGCTGCCCTACAGATCTGGTCAGAAGGAATTTGTGCTATATGGATGCAACAGAGGCCACTGAAACAGAAGGTCTGGTTTAGCCAGAAGAGGCTTGGGAGTGTCTATCGAAAGACTCCATTGCAGCCGAACCAAATAATACATACCCAAATAGCAATGATCTGAGCACCCAAGTTCTCGAAATAGCACTCAGATCCATGCAGTATAGGGGAAACGCCACCGTGTTAAAGTTCTGACTAGCCACACGTGGTCTTATGCCCAAAACAGTTCCAGGGCGTTTGGTGCTTTGGCTGATCAACTTTCGGGAGCTCCTGCGGCCACAATACTGGGTGCTGCAGCTAGCTCTTAGGTAATGTTTGCTCCCCTTCTCAAGCACATTTCCTCTCGTGGTGGGTTGCAAAGTCGTTCAAAATCCCAGACCAAGTTGACCGGGAGTCTTACGGTCACCTCTTGCCGAAAACAGTTCCATAGCATTCACAGCTAAGTCCCGCTGAGGTGACCAGGAACCCAAGAAGTTCTCATGCTGAATTTAATTCCATAACGATCGTGGCTAAGTACCAATGAGGACAATTTGTGCATTTCTTCATGCAAACGGCCGCCAGGAAGCTAGTGTTTGGTTCCATTCGAATGAAGGGAAAGTGCCGAACCAGAGGTACCCAGGGAAGGCTGTTAATGGTGGCTGGGGAGGTTTAACTCCCGAATAGGGTCTTTGGATACGGCTTATAGTCCTTGGGCAGGAGGCTAGCTAGCAGGCTCCTCCAGGAGCTCACGTTTGCCACAATTTTGTTCTTACGAACCAGAGAGACAACCTTTTGCTCTAAGAGCATATACATAAATTTCATCAAAGCCTCTATCTTTCAGCTTTCATCTGGGAAGGCAGACTGTGAAAATTTCCTTGGAGGAGGAGAATCTTTGAATTCCAGATAGTAATTGTTGATGATTTGATTTTTTTTACCTAGGTATCCTACACCAACTGATTCCAAACCTTTGAGAATTGACCCAGCCTGGCCCCTACTTCTGGAATCTGGGTCATTCTGGCATCAGAATCATTTACTCTCATGTAAAGAACCTCCTCTTCTTCGAGAATGAGGAATAAACGTACCACCCAGGAGGGGTGAGAAAATCAATTAATTATTATATAAAATAAAAAATATATTTTCTCACCCCTCCTGGGTGGTATGTTTTTTTTTTTATTCCTCTACCAGAGGCCTGGGAGTTTGTGGGTTCTGCAAAGTACCCTTCTGGACAGTGATCTCAGATGTCCCACCTGGAATCTGTTAAAGCCACTCCCCCAATTTGGGAGTCACAGCCCCGAGTGCTCCTATCACACCTGGGACTACTACTGCCTTCACTTTCCACATCTTTTCTAGTTCTTCTTTCAGTCCTTGGTATTTGTCCACCTTCTCATGTTCTTTCATCCTGATGTTATAGTCACTGGGTATTGCCACATCCACCACGACTGTAGTCTTTTGTTCCTTGTCTACCACCACGATGTCTGGTTGGTTGGCCAGCACTTGCTTGTCTGTCTGGATCTTGAAGTCCCATAGGATTTTTGCCCTGTCATTCTCAACTACCCTTTATGCTATCTCCCATTTGTACTTAGGCAGGTCCAATCCATATTCTGTGCAGATGTTTCGGTACACAATCCCAGCAACTTGGTTGTGTCTCTCTCCCTGTATGCTGTTCCTGCTAACATCTTGCATCCGGCTACTAGGTGCTGGACTGTCTCATAGGCCTCTTTGCACAGTCTGCACCTTGGGTCTTGCCTGGTGTGGTAGACTCAAGATTCTATTGATCTGGTGCTGAGTGCTTTATACAGTTCTAGTATATATTTATATACTAGAAAAGGACCCCTAAGCAGATACACATATCTATGTACATGTACCTAAATACATCTATACATACATACATCTATACATACACATCTAAATACATTTATACATACACATATCAAACAGGGGTTTATCATCAAAGGAGTAAAGCAAAAGAAAACCTCTAAAATTAAACGAGGAAAACAAATACCTGCATAGAAAGCATACCAGGATCCCCAGATCTAATAGAGGGCCACAGGAAAATGTGCACATGCTGTCAGAACTACTGGCAACCAAAAAGCACACCAAATAGGCTCTGAAAAGTGCCGATGCTACTTCCGTTACCATAGCAGCTCGCCAAACCAGACGTGTGCCTGCAAATTCCTCCGAATGCATCAAAGCCAAATAGCTCTGAAAGCCAATCTGAGCAAACTTTGCTTACAGGCCTCTCAGATGACTCCAAAAGTGGGAAAAAAAACACTATAGAAATGCTAACACCAGCTGTCCAGATCATAAGGCTCCTCAGCACTTGAAAGATATTAGAGCTGTTCCCTCCAGATAACCGGGTACCTTAAAAGGTTTCATATGGTACCATAAGCTCTAGGCTGCTACCCACAGGTTACAGCAGCATTAGCCCGCAGTCACGTAAAGGGGGATATAATGCAGCTTCTGAAAGAAAAGAAGATGAACTCCGTCCAGGATAAGAGTTTTAAAACACTGGTAAGCCATGAAGAAAAAGGTATACATAAATAAATGAAAAAAAGAACTGGGTTTAAGGCCCAAGTAGGGGTTATTTAATGTTTAATTCTTTCCTGTCTTTCAGCAAGAGTAGTGCTGAAAGGGCCATAGCCAGGAAATATACTTTTGTGTGGAAATGTTTTCTGTGACTGCTATTAAGCTTACAAAACTAACATACTAAATTTTACAATCGCCTCACATTGACATTTTATTTTGCTCCTTGTAGTTTGTGACCTGTACCAACCAAAAATAAACTGAAATCCGAGTGCATATTATATGCACTGTAAACCAGTACAAATCAATAAAAAAATTTGAATTACATGCTCATTATGCACACAATTTAATTGGCAAAACTGTGGAATTTTTTTAATTTTTTTGTTGTTGAATGTCTGTGTATTTGTTTTTAGAATAAATTAGAATTGATATCACATTGAATGAAAGCTCTTTTTGTCCTTAAAAAAAAAAAAAAAAAAACTGTTTAAAATATGTGTTGGTGCAATTAATGAAAAAGATGGAAATTGTGGTTGAACACACAAAATGCAAACATTGCTGTGGTCCTTAAGTAAAAAAAACAAACAAATGAAACTTAGTCCTTCAGGGATTAACACCCCCAGTGAAGCGAGTAGGGGATCATTATCATTGTAATGCACACTTCCATTATGATTCAGAAAAAAAGAAGGCACGTTTCGTGTGTGATTGCCATAGTGATGGTGAGCAAGGACTTGCGTTTACAGAATGCAAGATGATCAATCTATGAGGTATGAAAAGGTTTGCAATATATATATATATATATATATATATATAGCAAGAGATGAACCAGACACAACTAAAGCCTAAATATATCCCTTAGATTTTATTATGATTAAATAATAATAATAATAATAATAATAATACCTTTCTCTGCCACTGACAGTTGTTTCTATACATTGCAAAATTGTAGAAAGGATTTATTAATGAATACATTACAAAATGAAAACCAAAATAGCCGAACTGGAAACATTCTCCAACTCAAATTACCCCCTCCAGTTCAGCTGTTTTTAGCCTTGAGTTTGCAATTCCCAGATTAGTGAAAAGCCCAGACTAAAATTAATACTCACACAGGCTGATTCACTAAAGTGAGAATTATTGGGAATTCAAAGTGAATTTCACATTTATTTAAAAATTCTCGAAGTCAGCTACGCTTCCAGTTCAGCACTTCTGGCCCTAAATTTGAAAATAACTTTGAATTTCAAACATTTTTCACTTCAGTGAATAACCTTGTTAATGCTACTGCAGTCTATGGGTTCATTTATAGCCTTTTCACTACTTTTTAGGGACATGCCGCTACACATTACCATGACCACCACTACTGTTAGTAAGTGGCAGCTTTTTCCTTACTGCAAAATTTTGCAGAAATTACCAACAAAGTCAGTCACTGAATAGAGGCTATCAGCTCTCATAGTCGTCTATATGAGCCACTAACCATTACTTAGCATGTGATTTCTGACTGGTTTTTAACCCTTTTACAATGTATTACCTGCTTAAAAACTCAACACCAACCTCTGACCTAGTATATAAAGGAAAACAGCTAACCCCAGTGAAACAAAATGTCTGACACTAAATCTATCGCTAGCTTTACTGGCCAGCCTCTACTTACCTACTGTCACTGGTTACACATGATAAGGAGTGCATACTCAGGAGTTTGTTAATGTAAAGTTCACTAGGGAACCCTAACATGCAGACAGGACAGAGTAGAGAGAATTGCAATACCGATCATTAGAATGGTCGGGTTATGTAAAAAGGGATAGTCAAAACTCGAGCCGAGGTCAAGGAAAACAGAGAGACAGAATAACGAGAGTCAAAGCCAAATATCAGTAACCAGGAAATCCAAATAACAAGTGCACCGCTCAATGGTTAACCAAAGACCACAACAGGGCACTGAGGCAAGGGAGGGGTTAGCTTATATACACACAGGGTGTGTCTGATTGGCTAATCTCCAATTAGTGTTAACCACAACACGTGGGAGGAGTTTCTTCCCTCCTTTGTGGTCTCTGAGGTCATCACTGTGTGCCGGGTCACATGACTGGCTACAGCACACATATAAGGAAGCTGCTCTGGAGCGTGTAGCGTCAGACACACTGCCAGTCTGGAGACAGGGACCAGATGACGCCGCTCGCTGTGATGAGGTAAGCAAGGTCGCCGTGAGCGGCGCGGGGGCAGGGGACCTGACAATTTTAATGCTTTCCTATAAAGCCACTAAAATGTGAGTGGTTGGTATCTGTAGCAATCAGCTGCATATCGGTTGGTAATTTGTAGTCGCTACAAGCTACCAGCTGTAATAGCGGCAGCTTACTGCAGCTATTTACCAACAATGCTGTAAATGAGTCCTAAAGGTGTTAGACCTTTACATATCCCTCGTATATCAATAAAAGACTGAAAATTATGAAAATTTGCTCTTACCTCCCATAATGTTCCTTCTTCTTTTAACACAGCAACCAACATCCCAATGGGGATCATCATACAGGATACAAGTCCCATGAGAATTCCCAGGGCCTCCGACCATAAAGGGAACTTGTAATTTCCATACTGCGAGGGTTGGTATTTTATTACACTGTATGAAAGCAAAGACTAAGGAGACAAAAAGTGGACAATGTCAGCAATTGAGGCCTACATGACACATATTACTACTTTGTCTCATGTCTATCTTTTGATTGCTTTGGAGTTTCAAGAAAAAAAAAAAAATCCAATACAGTCAAATGAAAATGAAAAGTACTTTTCATTTTGTCCTTCTTCTGGCCATGACTCATGGGATTTATAATCCACAATATCTTGAAGCAAGTACCCCCTGACTCTATATCTTTCATAACTAATCTATCTTAAAGTTACACTGTAGACATCCCTATCTGTTTAATCCCCTATCTTCCAGACAGCCACTTGAGGAGCTTAAAGGTCTCTAACTGAGCCTTACTCTATCTAACATCTTCAAATTCCCCATAGGAAAACACTGATTCAATGCTTTCCTATAGGGAAGCGTTAGTGCACATGTCTTACCATCGCCACTGGAGGAGAATACCTAGCCAGCACTGGAAAGAGGTAAGTGAAAAAAAAGATTTGTACTCCTAATGCTATAGTGTTACTTTAAGTCTCCAACCCTAAACATCATCTCTAAACATCAACACTAAGCTAAATCTGAAAAAAATGCTAAATGCCAACCAGTGCTGTAACAATATGCTATAATAGGTAGAGGTTTGGTGGCAGTGGCTTTCTATGGATACTTTTTCTTGCTTTGTATGTCATAAATTGTTTTATTGTAACAATATGTTATATAGTAAACTGCTGCTTATTCATTAGACATGTATAGGTTTACAATAAATCAAGCTTGAAAGTTATTTATAAATGTTTTCTATACCGTCAGAATTGAATGAGGATAACATAGCCAGGTTAAATTCATAGTCAATATCTCACAAGTCATTTCATATTGGGAACAGTCTTTAGCACTATCAATAGTTTTATGAGCTATAGTAAATAACCTTCTAATTAGATGACAGGTCAAACAGCATATCTTTAGTTTATTAAAATCTAAAGATGGATGTCAGTTATAGTTGATGAGCCATGTAAGTGCAAGGCATTGTTTATGAGGAACTATATATTTTAGATAAGCTT